TCATTTTAGAGACGTAAACTTGCGTCAACAGCTGAGGGATCTTTGACGCACGTGTGACCCGTACAAACATCCTTGCAAAGTGAACAAGGGAATTTATGCACTGAATTAATGGAGCATGAGCTAATTACCGTCAATATATTTTATTGGCGACGGTAATGACGCATTCAAAATAACGCCTCGTGTGCAATGGACATTCAATATCAATTTTATATTCATGTAGGGCTATCCATAAAGAGTATTTAATCCTTGACGTCGATCGAAAGTTTAATAAATTCATAACCTCTCATATAGAGCCTATAAGCCGGGATTTAAGCGAGGAAAGGTCGACAATCACGATGTCAGCAGAGAAAGTGGGCGGGAAGAAAGCTTCACCATCATCCGATCCGCTACAAACATGTTAGATGGTCGGATAACAAGATTAGGCGCACATTTTGCCATTGCCCCATCTCACGGGAGGCACGGTAAGGAAACTTTGCCTGAGTGGTATCCATTCCTTCCAACGGCCCATCAAATAGAATTACGTTAATGAAAATGGCTTGGGCTTCCTAATTACTAACACCTCTCAACTTAACGCGCGTCTAGTGAATAAGTCCAACAAGTCAGACGTGCCTACCGACCTTCGCCCCTAATATGTCGCCGTTGCTATGTGCTTTCTCACTCAAGTTGTGAAGACAGTTTATAGAGGGGAGAAGATGTGGAGAAGGGACTTGACGGGAAGATTCACTTTCCGCCATCTTCTTTCTGACGTCTTTCAGGTGGGATTCTGAAACTAAAATATAAATTATGCGACTGAAGACTTAAATCCATTAAACTCTTCAATAGATTTGCTTGTGGCGATAATATCAATAATTTGAAATGTCTGCGACGATTTGCAGGAAGGTATTGGGAAACTAATTGGGTTGCGGGAAAGGCGACAAAAAGAGCAAGCGGAGATTTAGGAGCTGGTTTCTGGAGGGGTGGATTACAAGCCCCATCAGTCATAACAGAGGGGCTCTAGCGGTGCGCTGACACGCCTCTACGGCCCCACTGAAAAATGACGGAGCAAGAGGGTAAACGGTTTACATGTCTCGGCCAGGCATCCGACCGCCACATCGGAGCGCATTAGTTGATTGGATTGGATTCTAAGTGGTGCTGAAAAATGTCCGCCGTCGTAGAAAATTGTATCATCGCTGCCGTAAAATAGAAGAAATGTAATAATCAGGTCCTGCGAGTGGGGTCGTAATCACCGAGTGAGAGAGAGGACCCAGATATAAGGTGACTATTCGTCGGCTTTTAACCTCTCTAATTAGGTGCGCCAGAGATGGGCTGAGCGCACCGTACGTGTGAAGGCAGCATTCGAAGGTAAATCAACGAAGACTCTCTATCCAAAGACGACCACGAAATCTAAGTAAATCGTGCTTAGCTCTGAATGCGGATATTAGATTTGGGAGCGGAATTCCCGATGGAGTATGGGATTGGATTGCGAATTAAATCTCGCGGTAAATTAAATTCAACGCAGATTCTGAGATCGGGATGGGTCGGATACGAGATTCACTCGCAAACAGACAGACATGCGTACCGTACTCTCCCTTTCCTAAAGCAAACCTTTAGCTTCTTTTTGAATGAAATAATTTGAGAGACTAAAACAAAGATATTTACCAAATGGTATTAATTATCATCCTTCTCCTCCTCCTGGATGGTCATTGATTTAGAATGAAAATGATGACTCTTGTTTGATTTGATACCAGATCCATCTCACAAGAGGTCGTTTAAGGGTATCAACTTTCAGCCTGAAATTCTCCCAAGGTGTAAGATTCCCCCTGTTTGTCAATATTTATTTTGCGATGCTCATGTCGCCAAAGCTTCCGAATATTTGGACAATTTTCATCATAACTTTCCTCAAGCATTATTGAACATTTTTTTCGGTCAGAATAAAATGAGAAGTAAAAATAAGCGGATACTATTACTGAACTAATAACACAGTAAGCTTTATGGGTCGCCGGATCTCTCTCAACCTCACGTCTGTGTTGGGGGAAGGCTAAACCAGCGAGAAACTCTTTACTTTCATTGATTGTTTTATTAGTGATTGGTGACAAACGTGTGAAGTCACGTGACCCCTCCATCGAGTTGACAGAGCTGTTGGACTCTATTCCCGAAGCACACGAGAAACGTGCGGAGTTTTGTCAAATGACAACTTCTCGAAAGGGGGAGAGAAACTTTAACCCCCCTCGCTTTCAATCATCGTGATTGGACGATAGGACATCGTGACTTTGTTAAGATTGTTCTCATTTTCAGACTTAATGGGATGGGATAGTTAGAAGGGATAATGTATTCTTGATTTGATTCGGTGGAGGAAGGAATAGGCTGCATTGAGTCAGGCTCGTTATGCTCGTTGCAGGCACACGAGGCATTATTCTTCTGGCGTAGGACTGCGTCAGCGACTGGCGGTCTTTGACGAACCTCATGAAGTTAATGATGATGTAATCATACTAAGAATAAAACAATATAACATTATTATCCCGAATCTGATACTGCTGATTACATTTCAGTTACTTCTTAAAATTCGATAAAAAAAAAATCTGAAAGAACCTATACAGACAGCAAAAAACAAAAAATAAAATAAAACATGTATCTCATTTAGAACAAGTTTCATATTATTCAAAGTTTATAAAATGGTATTCTAAAGACATCAAGATTAAAAATTAATTTTTATCCATTTTATGAAATTAAACTTATTAGCTTTGATCTGTCGTTACCTATAATTTGTGATGATATTTTTAGACGTTGCACATTACTAGACCATTTCAAAGCGTGGTCTGGTTAACAAGTTTAGTGGAATCTGGAGGACAATGACGCACATGATTTGAAATTTGGAGACGTAAATTCGCTGTCGAGCGGAAATTATTTTCGGTTCGGTTCGACTCACGGCACCCCTGAACGGAACCCATTACCACCAGCACTCTCCCGACGACCATCCCCGCTACTCACCGGGGAGGAAGTCCGATCAATAGCCCTGGGACCCCGTCGATTTAACTCCTCCCAGAACGCGCATCTTTTTACTTTCCCAGTCAAAAACGGGTAAACAGACCACTTCAAAAAGACTAATAATGAGCTAATAAGCTGCGAGTTGGAGAGGTCTCGAAGGTATTATCTGATAGTTGAAATGGTCCCTGATTCGAGTCTCGATTTACAGTTTGGATGGCTGGGAATGAAATTGAATTCTTGAAAAGGAGAGTATTATCAGAAGAGAACATGCTATTAAAGATTAAACTCTGCGATATCTTAATTGAAGTGGCTTGTTGAGAGTTTCAGAATATACAATCTAGCCCCGTATGCCACAGTACATTGTGTGAAAGCGAATTGGTAAATGGATAAACTGTTTCCTAACTCAGCCATTGTCGAATGAAATTAACCCATCCTCCCAAAACACTTTTAAAATGAAGACACTGATGCGTTACCATGGTTACCCCATTGCATCACTGTTAATGTGACTATATTTTTGTTGGAAAATTTGTAGTCCGGCTTCATTTACTAATGATGATGAAGAGAGTGTTTATTAAGGATAGAAGTCAGCGATTTCAAGTACAGAAGATATGAATTATGATTTTGAACTAGATCTTAGCAGCTATCAAAATGGTATTTATGAAAGAAGAAAAAAGGGAAAACTGCGTCACAGTTGTTGAAAATTGGGCTAAGGTACGAGTCGAGCCGTTGCTGGGTTGACAGGATGTGGATCCAAAAGATCTAAAGTATGTTAATAGGAGGATTGGAATCAAAGAACGCTGGCTTGATATGAGTCCGAGAAACATCCTCTAGAAATATAAATACATGACCCACATCTTAACGAAATCGAAAGTTGTTTAAGTATGGATAAAGAAGTAACGAGATAGCCACGCCTTTGAGAAGAAGGTTTGTTATGGCTTTACATATATCCATCTCGGTTCCACTCTTTGGTCTAGTTCTTCCATCTCTTGATCTGTTCCTTTGAAGGATAAACATAAATATCATCTTTCATCGCTCTCGAGGAGGTCATAAAAAACCTTTAACTTAATATTCTTAATTATTTCAATCAAATCTAATCTATTATAATTTCCCTAATCACATCGAACGCGCAGGATGATTGATATTCGTGATTTCTGACGGTTTGTCCGCTCTGGGTAGGACGGATGAGGAAGGAGGTGCAGGGTTTCGTGTTACACGCTACGGGTACACGTTCGGACGCGCTCTGAGGATTAAACCACTGCGCATCTTCTGTCTCCGTAGAACTAACAAGATGATGCCAAACAGTCGTCGGTGTATGAACAGCGGGTGCGCCGGGTGCGTGCGTCTACTGGTGACGGGTGTGTACCAGCTAGCTTATTGGTGGTGGGAGGGGGTCTGGGGTTCAAGATGTTAAACGACGGTTGGTTATTTCAGGGGGGAGAGTGCACGAGGCGGAGATTGACGCCCTTGATCACCGCGGAGAGATTGACGAACACGCAAATACAAGATAATCCATTCCACGTGCAGCAGGAGTTGAATACTCAAATCACCATGTAATTGCTAAATTGAATGCGATGTATTGTGGTCATGAATATCTTATATCACACATCTCATCTCTCTCTCTCTCTCTCTCTCTCTCTCTCTCTCTCTCTTTTCTCTCTTACTCTCTCTTACTCATGAAATCAAGTATTGAATTATCTGGGTTAGTCATATATTCAGATTGTACTTTTATTATGGTCTGCCCTCTATACTTTTTTTTAATCCAACAGCCGGATTCAGTACTTTAAAAAAAGTTTGAAATGGTACATTCGTATCAGAACCATTATTATCCCCTATGAAAAGTCTTTTTATCTATCCATAATACTTTCATCACTGTGTTTTCTTCTGTTTCGTTTACTTTTTCTCTGAATGTTTCCATTTGTATTATCACCATTCTTGATGTATCAATGAAAGAAAATTGTGAACTATTATATCTGTTTGATTAAATTCTTGATATCAACTTTACAATCTGAATATCCCGATTTGCTTCTCCTGCACAGGTCCAAACCCTCCCACAATCCTTGGAAAGACACGGCGCCCTCGTACGGCCTTCACAAGTCAACAACTCCTAGAGCTAGAGCAACAATTTCGCAAGAACAAATACCTGTCACGACCAAAGCGATTCGAAGTGGCTACATCCCTCATGTTGACAGAGACACAGGTGAGAAGAAGGAATAAAAACAATGACCCATATTTATTAAAGGCGGACTAATTTCTTGATTAACCTAGCCTCACTAATTAATTTAATTGAAACGTGGTCTTATTTAGTCCAATATAAGTTAGATCTGCTTTTACGTAGTGACTAGTCCAAGGATTTACTGAAGTTAAACATGGTTTTAGTCATCTGTTTAATGGAAGAGCCCAAGAGTCAACCCAAAAGTTCTTTATATTTTTATAGCAAAACACAGAAAAAATATTTGTTGATGAGATGAAATGAAAAGTCATTTCATGGTGACAAGTTGTCGTGCTTTCATTGTCGATCGCAAATCCAATAAATTCCTTGCTTCTGACGTTATGACTGAAATTGATATCAAGCCCGATTTTTTATTTATAAGATGGGGTCCTTATATTCATGCCATTTCTTTTCCTGTTTTAAAAACTCTTGATTTTTCTATTTTCCCCCTCCCGTTCATCCGTCTCATGTACTCTTCATTCAATAAGTTATTGACCATGTCTCTCAATTTCAAATGTTATTTCAATAGATGACAGTAAGTTGCCATTCAATGACTGCGTCAGTGATAGCACTGATGACGCAATGGAACCTTTACTTACAAGATGAAAAGCTGTAGGCAATTTAAAACAATCTCGCGACAGTCAGTTTTCATGGATGTTGTGCTCTCTAAAAAATCTCACTGGTGGTGTCTGTTTTGTCTCCTTCTACACCCCTCTCATCCAACCAATAAACTAAATGATACCGGATGTAATCACCTTTTATTGCGCCAATTCTCCCTTTCTGATTACGACTTAGCCCTACCCGTCAAACGGCGCTCCATCTAAAACCTCCAATCCGATTGCCTGGATGAAGATGATGAGGGGAGATCGGTCCGAAAATTATATTTACTGTGGGGGCGAGAGTCCAAATATCCCAAGGCAAAAATTGTCAAGTCGTTTCTGCCTATTTTTAGACCATCTTTTGCCCAAATTGAACGAAATCAATCTCCCAAATTGTTTTTCTTCTTTTGCAATTTTCGGGAAGAAAACGTATTTAAGATTTGTTGTCGAAGAAAAGCAATAATTTTTCTTGGAAAGAGAGAGAACATTAACATGAAATTGAAATGACACAAGGAATATAAATGGGAAAAGAGATAATGTGAAAACGATATGTGTTTGTCTTCAAGAAAAAGAAAGGTTGATAGTATTAGGAAGGGATGTTATACAGGAAGAGTGAGTGGGATGGAGAGTGAAAGGGAGAGAAAGAGAAACAGAGACACAAATTGAAAAGAAAGTAGGAAGAACGTATATAGTGCGACAGAAAAAGAGAAACGGATCCAGTAAGACAGACAGGGATAGAGAGGGATGGAGAGAGAGGGAGGTTTAGAATAATTTTGCGGGGGAATAAAATTGAAGTGGAGGTGAAGCACTAGCCTCCAGCGGACAGCTGTTAATTTGATTATTATTGTTTCCTCTCACTTTGGCAGTGGAGAAATTAAATCATTGCTCGTTCGCTTCCCCCAGAAAATATTATTAGCTGCGAAAAGATGAGATCTAATATTGGAACTTGATTGGGTGTTAGATACCAGGGACATTTTAGAGAGTTCTTTTCCTTGTTTGAAGGGCAATTTGAAGAAGGGAAGAGATGAAGCTTTAACAGCTTTCGGAGGATGATGAAATTTGCCCTGGGTTATTCCAACTTATTTGGTTATCCCGACCAAATTGTCAGCGATATGCCCGCTGATTATTTGCAATGAACCCCTAAATTCGAGAAAGTGTTATTTGGTTTAAGATTTCTTAATAGAATATGGTATTTCACAATCCATTCCAAATCGATAGAGCTTTTACAAGCCTTGTATTTACTTCCTCCTTCCCTACCACTTAGTTATTCAAGAGTTCGACCGACATGAAAAATATGAAAAGATGTGTCTTATTATCACGACTGTTTATACTTATAGCAAATATAACGTTGAAGATTTGCATTACCCACTCATAATTGATTAAACAAATTTTTCTAAACTTAAGACTGAGAAAGCATTATTGGTATTATTTGCTTTATTATGCCTGAATGAAATATTCCCTGATTCAAAATACATTTTCCTATCGTGGAAGACAGGGGAAACTATAAAACAAATAATTACATACAGTGTCCTTGGCATTTCAGCGCCACACATGATATAACAAAGATTCGCAAAAAGTTGTTTGGTTAAAAATGACATGAATCATCAAACAAAATAAAATTCGATTACTGTTTCATTACTACATGACAAATTTGATCAATTACTCAAACGTATCTCACGTAAAATCAAACCAATTCATAATAATTATGTGGATTCGTTTGCGCATTTGTTACAAGCAGTGTGTACGGAATATATCAAATAATTAGACTGTTGTGATGTATGTGTCTTCAAATCATTAAAGACGTTACCTAATGGATTTTCTTCTTCTTTGTTTTCTTTTTTCTCGCTGTAGGTCAAAATTTGGTTCCAGAACCGCAGGATGAAATGGAAGCGAAGCAAGAAGGCCAAGGACACGCCAACGCAAGAACGGAACTCCAACAAAGACTCTACCGACTCCATCACGAAGTCCTCCGAACTGTCTACAATAAAAACCGAACCATCTTCGGCAGACGTTGATACGAGCGTTTTACTAAAAGGTGATCATCTACACGACATCGACAGAGAGGAACTAAACTACGACGACGACGATGATCTCGCGATGGGAGATGCTGACGAGGACGAGGAGGAGGAAGATGACATGGACGATGACATGAAAGTCCCAGAAATGTGTGATCCTCGAGAATTGTCGCATAATATGTTTACGTCAGATCGTATGACGTCATCGCCTCCGAGACTCGTCAACAGTCATTTGCTAGAAATAGTTCGTTAGTACATGGAACACTTGAAATGATTACAAGCTGCAAAAAGGAGCACGAAGAAATGTGACAGTAGTGGTTTTTATTAACAAACTCTGACGTCTCAAAGTACAAACAGACAATTTACTAGCATTCATACCCAAATTATTTTTCGTGGAGCAAACCCCCTAAAGGAACATTCGCCCCCGATGGAGTTGTTTTAAAGTTTCTACGATGAGCAAAATCTAGTTTCGGAGTTCTCAATGTCAAAAACAAAACTATCTATCCAGAATAAATAGATATGTTGGTGAACAAGAATAAAAACCAAGAGATGTATCTGTTTTCAACGATTTTCGCATTGACAGTAGTCCAATTAAAAAGGTGTGTGCAGTATTTATCTATTGTGTCCATTTCTGTCTGTCTGTCTCTATTCCTCTCTCTCTCTCTTTTTTTTTTTTCTTTCTAAATTTCTCATTCTCCTTCTCTTTTTTCATTCTTCTTTTCTTCGGCATCCTGCAATAACTATTTCCATCTATTTCCCTCGAATATCAATACATTGTTGGACGTTCTACCACGATCTTCTTATTTGACGGTGTTTTTCAATATGAAATGAATGTCTAATGGACATTGTTCATATTTTGGTTTTATGTTAATTAGGCTTCACATTGAGCGAAATAGATCTGTGCTTTTAGATAATACTGATTGCAACACATGATAACCAATTCTAAATTATTTTTGATAAAATTAAATAGAATAATATACATTGAAATCTGTTTTTAACATCTCAAATTGAGGCGACATTTCGTTTCCTTAACTGCGTAATACGAATATTCATGTCTAATAATTTCTTCTAAAAAGAAAGCAAGACATTGTTTTTTGCTGTATCATTTTATGGCAGATTTTTTGCCCAAAGTTATCATCGGTGCTTCAGTGTATTATTCTTCATAGTGTCACGTACTAAAGTTAAACAAGTCTTTTGTAGCTTTGTGGTTTTTCTCAAGGAAACCTATGTGCACCATTATATTTCAATATTTTATATTTTTTACATTATGTTCTGTGAAATGGTTACAGAGACTGATATTAAAAACTAATATATTACATTACAACACTGATCTATCTAAAAAAAAAAAAGTATTAAAAATAACACTGCTGGGGAATGCAATAATATAAATATCGTTACCAATTTCATCATGAACAACAGAATGATTCAAAATCCATCCGAAATACAAGTGGTAAAAATAATTATATACCTCACTTAAGAAATCCAGCCATCTGATTGGTCGAATTGCATTCATAAACTTCAACTGTTCCTGTAAAATTCCCGGTAACCATGCATAAAACATTTCAATAATTTTAATAACCATGGTTATCAAAAAAATAGGTCAGTCTCCATGGTTACCCCATAGGTTTACATGTTAAAAAATGGTTTGAGCGATGGAGGATACCATACGTGTGCGAAAAATTGGTCGGCAATTTCAATACAATTGAATCTCGATCGATCTTACCGACAATTTTATCTTGCATTGTTGACATGAAGACGAAAATTAACTCTCAAAAACAAAAAAACAACATCTGCTGATAGATCTTGATCTAAGTTCGTGCCAATATGCATTGCAAAAGTAAAAGAAGGGTCCGTTTCATGGAGCTTTTGCGAAGCATCCCTCACGCGGAGCCGTTTTCAATCCATTTTAATGTATATATTGGAGAAAACTGCCAAGCATGTTAATGGCGCGCGATAGCCGAGTGGTCTAAGCGTTGGTTTTCGATACACCTCTTGTTGTACGCAAGAGTTCGAATCCCGTCTTCGACAAAATGGTAAATTATCTTTATTTTTTATTTTTTAGTCTATTTTTTTCGGCATATAAAAGTATTAATGACTGCTTTAATATTCGAGAAATAGTTGTTTTCATACGCTCTCGGGAAGGTTACAATTGGGCTATTCCCCTCGGCAAGCCTCGGGGAATAGCACAATTCTAACCTTCCCTTGAGCGTAATAAAACAACTATTTCTCTCAAAGCAGTCATTAATACTATATTTTATTCAATACATGGCAGAGTTTGGTCATGCAATATAGTGAATTGAAGCTTTTAGATCAAGATTGCCGTTAAGTATTCCAACACATGATGAATCATTCAAAGGCACTTTAACTCTTGCTGATCTACATTTTATTTCACATTTGTTTGTAAAATAAGTGTTAAAACACCTTTTATTGCGTGCTTTAGTATGTATCTACTTTCTGTATATAATACGAAGTAAATGAGTTATTTATGGTAGTAGGAGTAATGTATATATTCGTTGTAATGAAATGCAATGTGATGATGTATTATCTATATGAAAGAAAATTAAAGTCACAATTAACATTAATCATCTGATCATTTGAAGTGTCTTTCTATTTCACGTTTCATTCTATAATGATCATAAATGCCCACGAGGTTGGCTAGAATGTAAAAACCATATATAAACACTAACATACGTTTATTACCAAAAGTGGAAAATGGTTATCCTAGAGAAATAGGTTTTGAAAATTTGAAATAGCCGAGATCCTATAAAACATAATGACGACCTAAAAGCCACCATGGGTGTGTATTTCTTTCCCCACCACTCCTTTTTTTTTTTTTTTTTTTTAAATATGACGGTCATTAATTTTATCAAAGATAAATAAAACAAAATATTGATTGTCCTAATTTCTTTCTTTAATATTCAAAGCTTATGGTTAGAGTTAGAGTTTCGTTCATAATCTGACAAGCTATCAATAATGATGAAATATACAGCTTGCATGGAGGAGATGATACATACATAAAACATAAATGAGAGATGATGATGATGATGATGATGATGATGATGATGATGATGATGATGATGATGGAAATGATAGTGGTTGTGTGGGTGGTAATGGTGATGATAGTGAGGATGGTGATGATAATGATGATGATGGCAGTGATGGCGACGATGATGATGATGGTGATGGTGGTGATGATGATGATGATGGTGGGGGTGATGATAATGATGGTGATGATAATGATGATGATGATGACAGTGGCGATGATGATGACAGCGGCGATGATGATGATGATGATGATGATGCTGATGATGATGATGATGATGATGATAATGGGGATGATCCTACTGATAATAATGGTTATGAAAATGGTGTTGGATCACAGGGCATCAAAATTTGTGATGAATTAACTTTCATTGAATGTTAACAACCAATTCACATCTCTTCTGCTAGTATTTCATATCTGCATCTTCTTGATTTACGTCTAGTTTGGTTACCTACCTAAAGCAATTAAGATCGACCAACATCATCAGTCATAGAAACATAAGTGTCCAGATTTGAACAATATTATTTAAGCCAATTAACCTCCAACGTAAATTCATCAAGCGCTAATTAGTGCGGTCGATACCGTACGAGCTAGTTAGATCGATCAGTCACTAAGTCCTAACATTAGAGTTAACGGTCACTGATTCCTGAATTAATCGTAAGTAATACCCAGTGTCCATGTCGCCAAATTATGTATCTAACACTTCCATGTCTAGACTATCCCAGTAATGATTAGACTAATTAGCGAGAGGGACTAAAACTGCCTGTACTATTAGAGTCACTTAATATCGCATTTTTAGAGTACGATACCCCCAGATAGGGAGGATGATGAAAACATGGAGGTGACGTTGGATGTCGCAATGAAAAGGCGAGAATATAATCCGAGCTACTTTGCAAGGCATCGCGAGAACGTGATGTGGCTTAATACAGGGACTGTTTGCTGGAAAGTGTGACTCATTGAAATCTTTCTAATTGATAGTTTAGATGCTTAGTGTGAAAAATTATTTAGAAATCAGATAAGATTTAACCTTTTCAAACCATCCGCCATTTTGAACAATGAGTTGGGTATCAAAGGGCTTATCAGACGCGCTAATTAAGAGTGCTAATTGAGAGAGATAAGTCGACTCTTAGGTTTGATGCTCAAGGCACCTCCCCGGGTTGAGATCTTTAATTAACAATCCCACTGTATCGTTCTTTCCATCTATCTCCAGCTCTTTCTTGCTCTCTCTCTCTCTCTCTCTCTCTCTCTCTCTCCCTCTCTTCTGCCCTCGTTCACTCTTTGTTTCTTTGTCTCTATCACTCCCTTTCCCCTCCCTCTCTCCTTTTCTGTCTTTTCCTTCAATCCATCTCTTTCTCTATCTCTCTTTTCTTTCTCTATTTATCCCCCCGTCTCTCTTTCCGTTTCTATCAGTCTCTCTCTCTCTCTCTCTTTCTCTCTCTCTCGCTCTTGCTCTCAGTGTATCTTTCTCCCGCCTCTTTCTATCCATCTTTATGAAATTTATTCCCTCTAGTGCCCCTTTATTTCTCTATTTCTATGACTTGTCTCTCTCTTCTTCTCTCAATAACTGTCCGTGCGTGTGTGTGTGTGCGTGTGGGTGCTTGTGTGTGTGTGTGTGTGTGTGTGCGTGCGGGTGCGTGTGTGGGTGTGAGTGTGTTTGCATGTGAATGTCCTCCTTTCATTACCTTTCCCTCACTCTTCCGCTCGCTCTCTCCTACCCCTTCTCCATCTTTATTACAACCAATATTTTCAAGAAAATTTGTTTAATTTTCTGACTCTCTGTGGCTGCCTCGCCTCCCTCATCCCTCTCCCTCCCTCTTCGAATTTTTCAATATTTTATTATGCAAAAAGCTTATTCGATCCTACAATGTCCTGAATTATCATAACCTGTAAAAAAAATCGATTGCTAGGAACATTTTGTATCATAATCATTATGAGGGCATTATACTTTTTCAACTCAATGCCTAGTATGCCAAGTGGTGGAAGATGCCTCCAAACCAGGCGAGCTATACACAATTAAATTGTAAAACACCAATTATCATCGTCTAAGACTAATCTTAATTACAACTTATAAAAAACGACATAATAAAAGCGATGACATAATTCCTTTTGGGGGAGAAAGAAACATTTTTCCGCAGAAAAATATCTAGGAGTTTATAGGCAGTGTCTGGCAATTCCTTTGAAGTATTAATGCCTTATCTACCTTATTAATAGCTAATCATTAAGTTTGTTTATTATTTTTTGTCGTGGTCTTCGACTCCCTCAGTATTATCATCATCGTCACCATCAACATCAACGTCTTCATCAATACCAATATCTCCATATCAACATCACTTTTACTATCATTATCAGCAGCAACATCAGAATCATCAACATCTTTTCATTATCATCATCATCAACAAAATCTTCATTATCATTGTCATCACTGTCATCATCTTCATAATCCTTTCAACATTTTGCTAGATCAATAATACTAAAGATACATGAGCTTTAACTCATTTTCTCGTATTTCTTTCGATCATTACATTTCCTTTTCAATGAAAATAATTCAATTTCAATGTCATATTCTTTTCTTTACCTTTCTTGACTTATTTCAATACTAATTCAAACGTTTAAATGAAATCATGAAAATCTGTACATTACAGTGGTTTTCCGCATTACATTTTTTCTCTCAGAAAGATGGTATGATCAGAATGAGAGAGATATTACTTCCAAATGTCCTCCTGCATAAATATACCCTCCCCAATGGCAACAACACCCCTCATTGTTCTATTGTTACTGGGCCTCGTTGTGTTCATTCAATATCATCTTAATCGCGAATATTTTCCAGATAGGATCTTATCTTTATTTCAAATCAATTTTATATCAATTTTGTCCATATAGTTGAATTGGAAAATTAGTTTTCGAATCGCATTCTAAGCGAGCTGACGCCTGAAGACAGGCTCATTATTCAGACTGATATTTCGAAGAAAAAATAGAAAGATCATTAACCCCGTCAATGCGATAAGAATAATGAATTTGTAAGGAGTGAACAGAGTAATTTGAATTATAAGCAATAATTTCAATTGTAATTATATTTGTTTGTTTCGTTGTCTTCATTCATTAAACAGCATTTTATATCACACTCAAAACATTTTATACCTGAACTCGCAAGGATAAAAAAGTACTCGTCTCATCTCTCTCTCTCTCTCTCTCTCTCTCTCTCCCTCTCTCTCTCTCTCTCTCTCTCTCTTTCACTCTTTCCCGCTCTCTCTGTTTCTCTCTTTCTGCCAATCTACTAATTAGTGTAGACCTAAATAAGCTTAGAATAGCTCGAGACTTCCAAGACTAATAAT